AAAAAAAAAAAAAAAAAAAAAATTATTTTTATATTAAAAAAGGTAAAACTGTCTTTTTGGGGGCGGTAATAATTAAAAAGGGGCGGTATTTAACAACACCCATTATTTATGCGCACGGTTCTGCAAACTAGTATGTAACCCGTGCGATGCACGGACTGTATTTACTTTGGAAAATATTAAAATTAAAATGCATTGATAAATAAAAGAGTGATAATTCGTAGGAAAATTATCAAACCATAAAATGTTTCTCATGAAAAAAAAAAATATATTATTTAAACTTTCTTGTACACCACATTATTTGTTTAATAACTGAGCAACTCGTCGTCCTCACAAACTAATATATTCAACACTTTTCTATTATTTGTACGCGAAACAAACAACATAATTGTCCGTGATTAAAATTAAATTCCTTAACATGCCAACGTATAATAAATGTTGACCTTGACGAAACTCCATTTGTCACCAATCTATTGCTAATCCAAATATTCAGTTGGAATGAATTTTCCATTGAAATTTCCGTTGGATTTTAACGATTCCAACGGTGGATTTTTCAACGGGGTAGAAATAAAAATTCCAACGGAATTTGCATATTCAAACGGAAATTCCTACGATAAAAACACCATTGGAAACATAGCAGTTGAAAATATCAAATTTCTAAGATTGACACTAACTCTTGTTTATCGTCATGACAATATAAATGAATATTTATCTAAATAACTTAATCTTTGAAATGTAGTGATCACGTGTTATTTTTTAATTTCGTGATTGATGGACTCTTTTATTAATTTGTTGGGTTGAATCAATATATAACAAATTTTGTTGTCAATCGTTATTAGAGTTTTTAAATTAATTTGTGTAAATGCATAAATAAAAAGAGACCTAAACTATGAAAATTTTTCCATCTTTTGAAATCAAATAAATGGCAAACACTATATTTTAAAATAAATAATGATAATAATTATAACATTGTTTCATCAAAACCGATAAGGTATATAAAATTCGTTTTCCTTTTCATATCGATAATGAAGAAAAAAGTCTAATTGGTGAAAAGATGATATATACAAATCATGATTTTAGAAATCTGACATGTATATAAATCTTACCATGCAGAAAATTTAATAATATAATAATAAGCTGAATGAATTATGATTTAGATTCATGCAAAGAAAATTTTGAACAGATTTCTAAAATCATGATATATACAAATCATGATTTTCCTTTGAGATTTATTCAAATTTTCAAATTATTTGGAAATCATGATTTATTCGAATTTACATTCGAATTTCCAAATTGTTTGGAAAAATAGAAGATTTATTCGGATTTTGATTCCTTATTGTTTATCAATATAAACGTATTTGATGTTATTAATACAAAAAAAAAAAAAAAATCTGATTTACTATTTTTAGAAGATAATTAACGAAAATAGCGGGAAATTGTTTCTAAATTTGATTTATGTTAATCCTTATCATAGGATTAACATATATGTTAACATATAAGTAATATATATGTTACTTTCACCTAAATACTAATGTATATATAAATTATTTCTAACAATTATTAGAAATATGATTGATTCTTAAAAAGAAAATTTAATTAAAAATTATTAATTAACTGTTTTATATTGTATTTTAAAAGTTTTTAAAAATACGTATGTTAAGTGTATTTCTTAAATTAAATGTATTAAGTATGGTAAGTGTATTTCTTAGATTTATTTTGATTTTGATTCTATATTTGTTATTGTAATCCTAAAAAAAATTAGATAAAAAAGGTATGTTAATAGATAGAGATTTTGTTAATTTACTATATTTATGCAATAATTAATGAAATTGGCGGGAAATTATTTCTAAAAATGAATTATGTTAATCCTTATTATATATTAATAGATGTCCCTTCAGGAACAGAAAATTGTCGTCTATCTACCCTGGATTCTACACTACATATTTGAATTAATTTTTGCTCTAATTACGTCATTAGTAGTGGGATTATAAGAAAGATTTTTCATCTAGAATATTTTTATTACATTGGAACATTTATGTAATTATAAGAAAATGGGTGAAAAATGAAAATATATAAAAAAAAAATGGGATAAATGCATAAAATGCATTAAGTTTTCAGTATATTAAATAGGCCTAATGCTTCAACAATCATTTTTTTTTTTTTTTTCCAACAATTATATATACTTTCAGAGTATGACATTTTATGCATATTTACTAAAACAATAGGGGGTGTCTATATGTACACCCCTTGTGTGTAAAAAAGGGGTGTACATATAGTATTGCCCTTTGTGTAATTTATTAAAGGGGGGTGTACATATAGCATTGCCCAAACAATATAACTAATTGATGACTTGACTAATGTTTAGGCCGTTCCACATAACATAATTACAGATTAAACAAAATATTGTGTTATTTTGTTATGTATAGGATAGGTTAAGGCTGCAAAACGAGTCGAGTCGAGCATTGGCCTTATCAAGTAGGATTAAATATTTTTGTTAGCTGCTCGAGCTCGACTCGATAAGAAAATACACCTCGAGCTCGACTCGAAATATGGGCTCGAACTCGACTCGAGTTCGTGCTTGAGCCGCTCAAGCTCGATTCGAGTTCGGCCAAACTCAAGTTCGAGTCGAGCTTTGACTCGAGTACGTACGAGCGGCTCGTTTGCAGACCTAGTATAGGTACATGGAAAACCAATTTTTCACGCGCTCTATGATGTCAACACACACGTGTACAAGTCATGTAGACTCGAAAAGTCAAAACCTAAATTTCAGGCCGAAAAATAGAAGGGCTAAAAGGTAAATACCTCATAAGTCATAAAATATCAA